TTGAGCGTATTGATTCAAAAATGGAAGTATAATGTTTTTTACAGTATAAATGAGTTACCTAATTTTAAGATAGATATAGGCATAGTCATATGTAGTTAAATAAGGATCGATCTTAATATTGATCAGAGCAAATAAATCAAAATTTACTTTGTTGATTATCTATTTGCCTCATTAATATCTAAAATATAGAAAGATATGACTTAAACTGTTACAGTTGATTGGATTTTGTTTATCAAGAATACCAAGTCTGCAGATTATATAAATATTATTGCGTAAGCAAAGGACTAATCCAGAATAAACCTATTTCTATGAATAACTAAAATAAAATAATTTATCCGGTATAGTATAACACGACGTTATGTAAATAGTTTGTAGTATTATATTCTAATGTGATAGTGGTAAAATTAAAACTTGTTATTTTTTAAGCTATCATATTATTATAATAGAATCTGATAAAAAAAATGCATACCATTAAATTATGCATTAAAGGTCATATATAAATTACGTAAGTAGCAAAGCTATATTTCTTATACTAGGCTTTCAATGCTTCGGCTTTGTATGGAATTTTTTACTACAAAACAATAGGTACTATTAGTTTTGTTTGTTTTATTCATTCAACAGGTGGAAAAAATTATGGACTTTTAAAAAAATTATTAATTTTCTCATATAAGCAGCGTAGGTTGATTTTAATTAAAATATCAGATGTGTTAAGTATGTTTACACCTTTTTATTTATCTAAATATTTTGTACCAAATAAATAAATATTATTCCAAAAGTTATGTTTTCATTGATATTCGTTGTTTGAATTATAGATTTAATGTAACTTTAATTTTTTTTTTGTAAGAATATATTACAATATATTATAATGCAAAAGTAATTTTTTATTCTTTACATTTTAGCGTTTTTTTTTTTTTTTTATTATGTATCTACATTTTTTATCCTCAAGTTTAATGGTTTGGTTTTTTTTATCTTTTATGTCGGCACTATTACTTACATTTTTTTCCCTACAAACTTAATCAGACCTTTTTCACTAAAGGGTGGTTCCTGTTAGTTAGATGGATCTAGTTTGTTCTTTAAGTGGTCAAAAGGAAAATTCACATAACTTTTCAAAATAATCGGAAAATAAAATTCTCATAAACGGGAATATTTATGGATCACCAGTTTACGACAAGAACGATTTTATTTTTATTATTATCATCATTATTATTAAATCTTCAGTGGCACGGATTATTGGGTGAACAAGGTTATATTATAATTTTATTGCAATTATACGAACTATTAATAATAATGTTTTATAAGTTTTATTATAAAATATACACATTAATATTAGGTACATATATTTTAAATTTAGTTTTGCAGTTAGTGGTGGTAATTATTAATTTGATAGTAGTTGAAATTGATAGAGTTTTTTAGTGTAGTTAAAAACTGAATAACTCTTTACTAACGTTACAATTTTCACCAACTATTTATTAATTACTAATAGTAATCTATAAAATATCTTCAGGAATAGAAGCTGACACTATATTTGCTTAAAATCGTTTTTTGCTACCTACCTATGCAATAATTTATTATTTAGTTCAAATTTAGCATACATATTATACCGACTTATTAAAATAACAATATACACCTAAGACTTGAATTAATATTTCATTATTGTTTTATTGTATCAATGTACATTTACATATTTTATTTTGATTTGTAGAATCTATGACCATATATTCAGTATTTTTTTAGAGAAAAATATAGGTCAGAGTTTAATTAATTTGTCACCTATTTTAAATAGGAAATACTAATATATTGTAAGTATTAATTAGAATTGTAAATAAACATATAGAATAATTACATTATATTATTAAATTGTTTTGCAAATAATATAATGTTTAGGTTCATCTTAAGTGTTGAGGATAAAATTGAATTAGGTAATTTATCGAGACAGATAATATTTTTAATGAAATTTGAAGTTAACATGATTAAATATAATATAAAACTATTGCAATTGGAATATAAATTGCTTGATTGAAATGAACATAATAAACAATTCTTGATTATAAACATTAAATCATTTCAATTTAATTGAATGCTTTCATTAAATATCTGAAAGAATAAATAACAAATCATGTATATATCTAAGATAGGTACCTAAAAATGATGCTAAATATTTTTAAGTTTTAAATTTAATTATAGAAATCAGAGTTTTGGTAAATTTATAGTATGCAATCAATTTAAAAAATAGGAGAATAGGTAATCATCTTGAGTAGTTAGGTATCAAGTGTAAATTTTTACACTACTTTGGTAAATTCATAATATGCAATCTATTTAAAAAAGAGGAAAGTGGGTAATCGTCTTTAGTAGCTAGGTGTCGAGTGTACCTTGTCATTGAGTAAGTCACGATAATGCAGTATAGGTATGTGTTAAATTTTAGTTTAATGATAAGTCGTTGTACATGAAAAACTACCTTGATTGAAGATGGTCTGGCGGTCTTTATTACTAAGTATATTTTATGATATATTTACACTGAAATTATAGTAATTTATTGGTAATATGGTAGGTTGAATTAATTGTTGCCCAAAAACATTGTTATTATTATATAATTAAAATTACAATTTTTAACAGTGTGTTTTTATATCGTATAATTTTAAAGTTATTCATTTTTAATTCAATTTTTACTTACAGTTGAATGAAAATAGTGTGAATAAGTTCATGGTATAGACTATAGGCAATAAGTTAAAATTAAGCTAAATATTATATAAAATTATCGTGTACATAAAAAATAAATTTAAAAGTTGTAAGATTTATCGCATTATATTATATTTTAAAATTATAACAATACAACTAAAAAATTATATTTAGTAATTATTCTTCGTTTAAACATTAAATTTTATCAACATGTATTAAAGAATTGCGTTTAAATATATTTTTTATAAATGTTTAGGTTTCAATATAAAACATTTATGAGGAACCTCGTATTAAATTTTTTTAATTTTAGCAATAAAGTTAAACATTTTATAAATTTTGTAACTAAAATATAATTTACAAACTGTTGTGATTTGATGAATTTTTTTCAAATTATGAACTTAAATTGCTTTTATAAATTTATAGTGTTTACGTGTTTTAAACATTTTTAAATTAAAAAATAGTGTTTTATTAAATTTTAAAATTATTTGACTTGACGATTTTATTAGTACTTAAAAAAAAAAGAAATTGAAAAATTAACTAATTGTTACAAGTTTGGATTTAGCCTAATTACCATGAAAATTTTATTAAGTTTAAAAATTAATAATATATTAAATAACACTGAAATTTTTCAAGTTTCTACGATGAATTATTTTATAATTACAATAAGAAAACTAAAATCATTTAATGAGAAGTTATTATTTATAGCCAATTTTGTTAACATTTTAACTTCAGATGTCCATAAAAAATATTTATCAAATTTCGCTTAAATTTGTTTTTATAATTCTAGAAAGAAAAACTCATAATGGATATTGAATTGAATTTTAAAATCCAAGATTTGATAGTACGATACCTAAAAATAAAAATTGTATCATACAACAATAAAAAAAAAAAATCTAAAAGAATTGTTTTTATTTTAATACATCTTAATAACACTTAAGAGTTAAAATATTTTAAAAACTAATTAATTTTTAAATGTTTGGTGAAAATTTTAATTTTTTTCAATTACATTTTTTTATGAGTTATATCAAAAATATAAAATCGATTTCGTCAAAAAATTGATTTGTATAAAAATTCTTTTTTTTCTTAGAAATTTTTTCCTCGATTAAAATTGTTAAGAATTATTTACATTCGAACTCTTTTACTTTTAAATAGATTCAATTTATTACCGACAATTACATTTAATTTTGAAAGTTAAAAAAAAAAAGAAAACATACATAATTAATTATATGTAAAATCAATGAATCAATCAAATATATAATTCTGTTTTATAAGTTACTTTTACTTATGAATAAAAATATATCAGAAAATTAACTTATTATGTTTCTTGTATTATTTGTTTGTTTATTAAAACAAAGATTAACATTTTGTCCAAAATGATTATTAATTTATTTTTGATTAAAATGTTTCATTTGCAAATTTTATATTATATCAAATCAAAATATTGCTTAAATATAAATTCAATTTCTATTGTAGTTACTTATCTAAAAAAGTTGACATTTTTATTAAATTAATGTTTTTAAAAATCATTAATAATTATTAAAGTTATGCATTTTATTCAAATTAAACCAATTGACAATAATGTAATAACATTTTATAATCTAATTTTAATATAATTATCATAATTATCATAATTCATATCATTCATAATATGAGGTCATGATTTTTGTTTTTTTTTTTTTTTTTATTGAAAATGATTAATAAATTGTTGAATAATAACTTAAGCATATTAGAGTATCAACTACTTATGTAGGTATAATTAGCATTAATAAAATAAAATTCTATTGACTGATGTTTAATAATAATATAGATACTATTCTATAATGTAAGTATTAAAAAATATTAATAGTTTCTATTACATTTTAATGCCGGAAGTTATGAAAATAAAAAATATTTTTTAATGAAATAAAAACAATAACATATTTTATTTATCAATATATTATGCATTAACTTAAAGTTAATTTTTATTTTATTAATCAATTTTTGGTTTTATTTGTTTATGAGTAATTAATAATATACATAGTAAAATAATTATTGAAAATGGAAAATATGAAATATATATGTCATAACATACACATTTTTAAACATTACACTCACAAAAAGTGTAAAATTAACAACATGTCTAAATATAGTATAAACAAAATAAATGTCTTAGTTGAAAATAAAATTTTATTTATGTTTATTTATTAACAATAAACATTATTTAGTTTTACATTTCAATATAATAATAAAGTAAAATACATAAAATATGTCAATTTATATTTTAAGATAAATCATAATTGTATTTACTTTAATCAATATTAAATTAAGTGTACTTAATTAATAATCATTAATCAAAATAAATTTTATACACAAACATACACACGTATTTAAATTCCATTAGAGCTGTTATAGGTTTACTGAATCTTGCTTTTTATTTTGTATGTTTTTTTATAGAATTTTAAAAACAAATAAAGAAATATAATTACGTCGACTAACATATAAACGATAAATAATTTAGAATAAGTGCATTTAAACACGATGAGGCTGACACAGTAAAGTATTCCAAGAATAAATTGAATCTGAAAATTTTGCATTATTTGTTATAGACACATATTTATAGTTAAAGAGCTATACGAATTTATATTCTTACAATTTGTATACAAGTCAGATATTTTTTCCACCATAAATGTTTTTGCATGTTTGGCCCGAGTGCTGCTAAAAAATAGTAACTGTACATGACTACGTGAACAAATGAATTAAGAATGATTCCGATCGCGACATTTTCACCTGTTAATTACATAGGTATCGTATAATAATTAGTAAATAAATGGATGATAGTTAATGCGTTAAAAATATTTTTTCAACACTTTTTAAAATAGATGTAAAGTACAATGATTATCAGGCATTATAATAATATCAAAACATGTACGTAATATTACTATACTGTTAAGTATTATTAACTACTCGTATTAAAAATATTGTTATATTTTCATGATTTTTTTATAATTATTATTGTTTCTGAATGTATAGATAAAAAAAAATATATATACATTATTCTACAATTAGCAGAATATTTTTATTATCTACGACTAATGGTAATTTTTTTTTTTTTTTTTGAAGAATCTTATTTAGCTTCTAAAATGCATTTATATTACTTTACAAAGTCGATAAAGATTTATTAACACCATATTGCATGCAATGTATATAACCTTAAAACATTAAATTAGTTAAGTCTAGTGAAAAACCTTGAATACTAAGACAACATACATTTTATTTAGACACTTTTTATGTGTAATCACTTATTATGTAATACGAATATTAATATACAATACTATATTAAATTCTTACTTTTGATGAATCTGAGTTGGCCAAAACAAGTGATTACCATATTAACATGATGGTAAACATGTAAAAATGAAATGTGTGATTTTTTTTTTTTCAATACAAAAAACACCTATTAAAAAAAACATAAAAATGTATAAAAAATGTGGTTAAAGTATGTATGATTTCTATGATACATTTATTATTAAAGTAATTTTTATTTCAAAAAAATTGTGCACTGCTTAATGTATGTTCCATATGATTTGTCATATTTTATTGTGTAAAAATGAAATTTGATACAGACTGGTATTTTTTTAAATAAAACATATGTATCTTTTGTCCACCATACCGATAAAACTAGTATTACAATAAGCAATCTAAAAATACATTTGTATTAGTTTTGAAGTTTGCTTAAGATTGATAATCTCACTTTTTCAAATGTTGACTCTTATTCGTTCCTTTGATGTGATTTTAAAATGTAAACATTAAATAATTTTTAAACCGTAGTTTATGAATATACGGAATAAATAAAATTAATTAATCATTCTCAAGTTGACTTAATAATGAATTTGAATACGTTTTTAAATTTTTTTATCTATTAATAGTTTTGTGATAACAATGGATAAAAATTATAGGAAGTATTTACGCCTTTTAGTAATACATATAACTTGTCGTCCACAGATTGGTGACGTGTAGGTGCAGTGTCGTGCACGTGTGGGATCATACAGCTATCTCTTTTATAATATAACAGTCGTACTGCACTATACACGGTTTATATGCCATTCACAATATAACAAACAGTGTAAACGGAAATTGCCTAAATTGAACTCTTTAAAAACGGTCGGTATCGAATTGCGTTGGGGTGACACTACACTCACGTGTGTTATCTTCGTCTTACAAGTGTACGACATAGTAAATTTATGTTTAATAATTAGACAAGTCAGTTTTTTATTGACAACTGGAGTTATTGAAAAAAAAATTGCTATATTGTACAATGGTAAAATGGAGAGACAACATAATATGTGTGTGTGGAATCCTTTTAACAAATCCGACGTAAATTAAACAAGATCAAATATTAAAAGGTTATCCGACAAAAATATCTTTTATTTAAAATGTAATTATTGACTTGAAAATAGTATACAATCTAACTAACATAATAATGATGGCATTAGAATTTGTTTATGACTCTTTGTCTGTTAGTTACAGGCGTTTATTAGATCAGGGATTTGGTTAGCCATACCGGTGGCTAATCACAAACCTAGCAATACATCTTTGTTTGTATTTTAACATGGAATTGACGATAAAAAAAAAAATGTTTGTTTTAAAATAATCTAATACAATTTTAAATAGTACTTACTGACTACCACATTATATTTTTTATTAATATAATGATTATAATGTTACGAATTTGCCAATTTCCATATACATACACAATGTGGTATACTTATGTATTATCTACTGTTGGATGATTTCTTATTCATATAATATTCAAGTTAGATATGAAAAACATTTTCTCCCCAAGAATTTATATTTAAATTTAATAATTTAAATAAATTGTACGAATTAAATATTAATTTATATTAATATTAAAATATTTTTTACTTACTGTATCTAATAAATCTATGATTTTTGATATTGCGAAGTACCACGAAACAATATGTAGCTAAAATACATAAATCATTGGTGTTATTAATGTTTTTAAAGCGAATATATAAATAAAATAAACAATAATTCTAATATTGCATAATTTAAACCAAAGCTAAGATGGATAATGCATTCGTTTGGTACAGAGATATATTTGATTTATACGGTGGGAGGGGGAAGGGGCACACTTAAAATATTACATACTTTAAAGTATACATTTTCTTTTTAAAGATAGGTTATAGGTAAGTACTTGCATAACTTGGTATGTTTTTATGTTAAATACTTTATTGAGGATAATATGTTTTTAGATACATATTTACAGATTCATTTTGAATTATAGTATCTAATAAGATAAGTAGATACATTATTACAACATAAATAATTGTAAAATAATATAATAAATAACAATTGAACTAGAATTAAGAAAAATAATCATTACAATTTGTTTAAATATAATTTTAAAATTAAGGTAGAGCTAGTATAAGATTTTCTCTTGTATTAAAAACAAAAATAAATGCACATCATTGTAAAACCAAAGAATAATAAAAGTGCTTTTTTAAATATGCTTGGTGACAATAAAAATGTTTTCTCATTATTGTTACTGTACTTAATTTTAGTTTATTTTTTGGTTGCTACGGTAAATTATTATTATTATTTCACATATTTAGAACTCCTCTTTTCCTTAAAATGGTACTAATTTTAAGAACGTTTCAGTTTTCAGATTTTTGCCTTTATTTACAATATATAACCAATATTTGTATTGAATTCATGTTTTTACTTCAAGAAAAATACTTCATAGTTTTTATAACAAATGAGTCAGCCGGTAAAATTCGATGTATGTGTATTTTATTGAAGTGTATCGGCAGTTTCCGTAGAATACTTCAATGTTAATTCCTTTATCTAAAATTGCTTCATTCACATAGTTAATCTAAATTCTAGGATATTGTCCAAGCATTCTCTAGTGTTTGTTTCAAATCGACTTATAAATACTTTAAGGACCTAAGAAATCAGATAATAGATTTGTCGTTGCTACTCCATTTGTTAGTTTAAAAACCTAATTGTTGAATTGGAAGATTTTCGTTTCATATGCATAAGTGTGGTTTTAAACAACTTTATTTTCTTCTATTTTTAATTATTTAATTAAATCGTTTTAAGAGAACGTTTATGTGTAATATCTTTTGAAATTTGAAACACTCGAAAAAATATTATAGCTACTGAATCAAGTTAATTATTTAATAATTTTTTATTTTTACTTTTATTTATTTTCCAATTGAATAACATTGTTTTATGAAATAATTAAGATTAAATTTAAAAATGGTTACATTAAATATCATATGACTACTGAATGATAAAATAAAACACCTCTAAATTATGCATTTTCTATAGTGTTCATATCAACTATAAACTTATTTTAACCGAATGCTGTACATTTATATGGAGAAAAAAAATTCTTAATTTCTAGAATTATTGGCTGAATTGATAAATCAGGACCGAAACTCTGCCTTAATCACTATAAAATTCATTATTTCTTCTAATCTACTCAACCCAATTTAATATAATATGTAAGTTTATCTTAATGGTCGTTATGAGTAAATCATGTTAAATAAATAAAATAATATTTTCTAATTATTATTAATCATTAAGGTAAAATTTAAAACTATCGCGATTTTCGGTATCGTACTTTCTCTTTATTTATGAATTTTTAGGTTATAAAATATTTTCTTCAGTTGAGTAGATAGAAACTTACTATTTTATAAAATATTTTATTATTGTTTTTTTTTTTTTTTTTTTTTTTTTTTTTTATAAATGTCTCAACTGATTATTGTTAACAATACTGTGATTGAAACTTGAAAGATTAAATAAATTACTTTAATTATTTACAGATTTGTTTTTTGTTTTTATCTAGTTAGAAAGTATTTGCAATTTAAGTAATATTATATTATTAATTTAATTTTGGTATAGTTAAAAATTTCTGTAATATTGACATGAGGTACTAATAATCGTAATGTAAACAAAATTATATTTATTGTTAATAATACTAAGTATAAAACAATCTTACCTCAATTATAATGTTCCTTTTAGTAGTATCAGGGTGGCATGCATGGTTCCATACATAACTAGAAACTTCTGGTTTAATAAATTGCTAAAAAGTAAATTTCATCATGAAAATAATTTACATTTCTATGTAGACTGTAAATATGATTTTATGAATAAAAAAAAAGGAAAACAAATTTATACTTAATCAATATCTTTTAAAATAGATTATAATTAAAGTTATTATTAAATGCGTTGAAGCTTAGATGTTTCAAAATGTTAATACATTTTAATTTTGATAATTATTTCAGAGGATACTATGACTACATATGTTTCCTCCATCTTACTAACGCATAACATGGAAAATTAAACATTTAAAATAATTTAGAATAAAGGTAAAAAGACTATATAAAAAAAAAATAATATAAACAATTTATAATTTTAAAATGCCCATGAATTATTTAAAAATTAAAATATAAAAAAAAAACTTTCGAGATGCCATAGATAAATTCTTATTTTTAAATTTTGTAATAGATTAATTTTCTTTAATATATATATAAAAAAAACAAAGTAAAATGGATTTATTTTTAATGTAATACTTTTTATATGTTATGCGTTAGTTAGATAGAGATAACACATGTAGTTATAATGTTTTTGGAAAGTTATAAGGTTAAGAATATTGTAATTAAAATATACTATCTATACGAACATATGATTGATTAATCAAATTATTAGCTTAATTTTAAATTAAATACATACTAAAATATCTTTTAGAATAATAATAATCATAGTAATAATAATAATAATAATAATTGTGTGTTATGAAATTTATAATTATTATAAACTCACGTAAACCAAAATATAACTATTAAATATAGTTTGCATTAAGTTGTAGAATAGGATTATGTACTTAATGTTAATTGGTTCTCGATTTTCCATTATTTTTGGACCGATTTTGAGTACAAATGTCAAGTACAATGTTAAAATAATGCATAATGGCCATAATGAACTAACAAATAACCATGAGTCAATCGTACTGTCTAAATAAAAATATTATATTGAGTACAAAATCCATAAAATGTGTTATGGAAAAAAATATTGTAAATATAATTCAAACATAATAAACAATAGTTTTATTGATAATAATATATTCTGTTTTATAATCAACATATGTTTATAGTAGGGATCAACTCACCTGACTTTATCTCATTGTATAATTGTTGGAAGAGATTAGTATGTGTTTCATTCATGATATTATGAATCAACTCTATAGATTTGTATATTATAAAATATTTATTACCTAAAACAATAATGATTGTGTATTAATATGCCTCATAACTTCAAATAGTAAAGTAGTGCTTCATATTTCTAATTAATTCACTTTTATTATCCAATTAGATACGCACAGAAACTGATGAAAAGCAAAACGCTTAAGTGCTCTATCAGTACTAACGTCTCCTTTTTTACAAGAAAAATTTTAACCATTAAGAAAATTCATTGAAAAATATTCTTGCTAAGTATAAGACAGTGGATTTTTAAAATAATTTAATAAATCTCACTATTACAGTTAATTTTATACGTTTGAATATATTTTCAGTAGTATTATAATACAATATGAATATTAACTAGGTTAATAAGTTCTGACACCATCGCCTTTTCAGTTACCTTCTGGGATTATCGGGTATATGACTAATGCTGCCTTTTGATTAGAGAAATTGTTTGGTTTTTTTTTTTTTTTGTTTTTATTAAACAAGTAAATTTTATAATTTTTTTTTTTTTTTTTTTTTGTACTAGGTTTGGAGGTTTGAGTGAAGGGGGCACATCGACACTACTTAAAAATTGTTTGGTTTTAAATATATAAGTTTAATAGTCTATAAAAAGTTTTAGCTACATCGAGGACGGGTAAGATGGCCAGATCATTATGTAAGGACTGTTTGGAAAGCAAAAAAGTGCTTTAGTTATAGCTCGGAGGGTTTTGGATTGGAAGTGCTGAATACGGTGAATGTTTGACATTTTTGCAAATCCTCATAATTGGATTCCGTACGTCTACATTGGTTTAAAATAAAGTTTATATATCAGTAGTTTGGTTGGTAATTATATGTAGTTAGAGGTTAAAATAAAGCGGAAAAGACGAAATCGATCGTTTAAGGATAGACGTTTGTTGCAAAGATAAGGAGACTAGTTAAGACGTTGTTAATATGATTGTAAAAATAAAAATAGTGGTTTGAGTGTGTTTATTTTGCTTTAATAAACAATAAGTCATAGTCAGTTTTTTGTTCGTTATCTGTTATTACAATACAAGTGATAAGAAATTGCAAATAATTGAATATAATACTTTTTTGTTTAAATATATCTAACCTATGACAAAAAAAGATAAAAAAGTGGGTAAAATTTTACTGTATAGTAGGCGACGAGTGGGTTGTTGAAATAGATATGATAAATTTGATATATTATCATCGTATATTCGTATACGAAAAAAGATTTTGAACAGAAACTATATCTGCCATAAGCTTAAATTATTAAAATAAATATCAGTTGTGTATTTTATAATAATGATATTTAAGTAATTTATTTTTATTTTATTACTACTGTAAATTTAATTTGTGTCGAAAATATTGCATTTATTATATTGTTAATATTATTGCTATATACTTATGAGTCAATATTACCTTACTGTATCGTCAAAATGTGTGAATAGGTTCATATTATAAATAGTTGATGTCTTCAAATTAATCTACATATAATTTTGAAAATTTCATAATGTTTAGTAACATGAGTAAACGTGAATTCCCACAGATAATGATCTCAAATTATAATAAAATAATGAACATTATTATTCATCGTTTGATTATATAATTTTGCATAAATTAAGCTTCAAGTGTATAAATAAAAAACAATTTGTGCCTATGTACTTTAAATATTTTTATTTTGAAATAAGAAAAAACCATGCAAGTTTTTTCATTAAATTCTCATAAATTTTGTCTAAACAAATAATTGTTAACTTATTTTTAGTAAATTTTAGCTTATAGAAAAATAACTAAATAGTCTATCTCATGCCTATAAATAACTTAAAAATAGTGAAATTAATTTAAAAATAATACCATTTATATAAAATAATGATATTGAAACTTAATGAAAATGTTCTATGGTTAATTGTTTTTGAATTATAACAAAATATAGAAATACATTTTGTCAAAAGCTGGTTTAGTATAAAAATTCCTCGTTTTTATAATTTTTGTTTTCGTTTTTCCTGATTATTAAAATAAGTACTGTTTTTTATTTTTTTTTATTTTTGACCTTTTGACGTACTAACTAAATTTAATTTACTATTAGAAACTACCTCCAAAGTTGAACATCAAAGAATTTTTACTGCTCCAAAAGGCAATAGTAGATATAAATTGTATTGTGTATAGAAAACAATAATTTAAAACTTAAGTAATACTTATTAAAATGTTTCAAGTTGGATATTTTTGAATTAAAATAAACTAATAAAATTAAAAAAAGAAATATTATTATTTTATGTATGATATCCAATTTTTTCATCATATTTTGATCATGCTTATAAAATATTTATCCGGCAATATTATGTTAAATTTTTTTTTTAGTACGATCATTTGATTTTTAGTTACATAAATTAAAAAAAGAAAATCGATTTTGATGAGCAAATATTCCCGTTTTTTAGTAAATTTTTTAATTTCATCATATGAACCCAACAGCAATAAATTAATTATTGATCTCTTTCACTTCAAGTGCAAACTAGATCTAATTTACTGATGGAAAGCATCTTCGAACCATTTTTACTGTTTTAAATGGTGATAATTTGGTGACCACATAAAATAATATACACATAAACATCATTGTAAAACCATAAATAAACATTAATTTTTCCATTTAAAATTAAATAATATCAAATAAATAATATTGTACAACTTTCTATAATTATTGGTTATTATTTTTTAACCATAAATTACAAACTTATAAAAATATATTTCGTTCAAAACAGTTGACTTTCAATTAAATTTAATTAAATGTATCAATTGATTTATAATGAATACAAGTTTTTAAAATTTTTTAAGAAAATTATCACATTATTGATTTTTTTGTTTTTGTTTTTATTATTTGTTAATTTAAATGTTGAATGAAGTAATAATAGAACTGACTAAACACGAATAGTTTTGGTCCAATTAGAAATGTTTATTAGTGTTTCTTTTTTAAAATTTAATAATTAGGTTTCAAATGCGTTGTAATTTTATAAAAAAAGAACTCTGTTACATAACGAATTCATTTTAAAATTGTATAATATAAAATTATGTTCAAAAATTAACAACAATTACAAATATCTAAGGTTTATTGTAAAAATATATTATAAGATTAGTTTTTGTCACATCATTTTTACAAAAAGGTTTTTATTAATTTTTTCAAATGTTGAGCTTTTTTTTTTTTATAAAAAATATAAAAATATTTAACATTATATTTTCCTTTTATCTCAGTTTTTTTTTTTTTTAATTATTCAGTTGTCTTAATTTTTAATGATAGATAAGTTAAAATGGTTTTAGAAAAATAATCCTATCGTTACCACATTTTAAATATATACAATAACTATATTAGATATAATATATATTGATATAAAAATTAAATGATTATCTTACCTTTAATACAAAAAGGCGTGTTTGCTGTTTTCAATGTTTAACTTATCATATTTATGATTGTTAATGGAATATTATCAATAAAAATAATAATTTTTCTGCTAAATACTGAAGTTTATTAGTCGAGAGAATACTCAATACGTTATACACGCGACAAATTTCTTAACTAAACAATATTCTTTCCCCGGCTTTGTTAATATATTAATCGTACTAAAACGTTTGTGATTATTCTATTAATTATTATATGAGTAGGTATGTGACGTAGGTAATAGGTATACTTAATACCTAATCAAAAATCGTAAATAATAGATAGACTACTCCTTTCTGATAATTATCTTATAGGTAATCATTTGTATATTACTAATGCATATATACTAACACTATAATAATTTGTATAAATCGTATAATATTGTAAAATCCAAACAGATTGATTTTGTTAAAGTTTGTTTGTTATTAATTGTAGCATATTTTATTCAGTACATTTATCTAAATTGATTAATATACTGTTGAATATAAAATTTCATATAGTTTACTGAACACATTATATTATTTATTTATGATTACCTAATCATTGAATTATTTTTACTTTATAACAGAAAAGTGCTTAAAAATAGAGATAAACTATCAAATATTTAACTAATTAGAAGTATGAATTACCGTCAACAATATAAATATTTCAACTTCACTTCAATTATTAGTTACTTATTAAAAAGTAAGTACTTCAAAGAATGACAGATTAAATTTAATTGTTTATGTAATATTTAAATTGTTATTTTTTTGTAAATAATTTTTCAAAACAAAAATGTATAGATTAAAATATGATATTATGAAATATGTTTAGGTCTCCAAGTATCGTTTTGGTTTTTATTTATCGAAACATTTTGAGATGATGACTAAAGATTAAAAATTGTATAGATTAATTAATAGGTATTTTATAATGGGTGTCAGTTTGATTAAAAACTTACAATTCTTTAAAAATAGTAAACTACTTTCAATGAATTGACCTATATAATTCATCTAATAATTCGTCTAATAGTAGATTTAATTACTTGTCTTATTCGTGACTGGAGATTAATATTTCAAATTAGTTTGCCATTTTATTGATATGAATATTGACGATGATGTGTATAACTATTTACCTATGAAGTAGTTATAACTTTAGCGTAGTAGTGAGTTGATTAATAATTATAAAACATTTGTAAAAAAAATCAAAATCAAAATGTTATTAAAATAAATAATGGCGGTAGAAAAAATAATAATTGAATAAAACGTATGTTTGAATAAAACATAATTAATATTTTGTTAATTGATATTAATTATAATTGTAGTTTGATGAAAATGATGCAAAATTAGCAATTAAATATTTTGAAATAGACTATATATATTACCTATACTAAGAATAATCTAGGCTATGATTCTAAAACTTTTGGTTTTGTTGAGTAGAATTCAAATGATTCACATTTTTCACAAATTAAAGAAATTTCACCACCATCAATAATATTAACTTTTGAATAGAAATTAACTAAAATATTATTGTGATGACAGAATGAAGTAATCTATTTCTAAATTTAGTTGAAAGTCTACATTGATATGTTAAGAAATTTAGATATTAGAATATTAGAAATGTAATATTATTTATAATTTCAACTTTATTGTATCCATTACCTACTTATTTATCTGTTGATATATTTAAAACAATTTTATTTATTTTGACACAGGGCTACTTTTAGTTTATTCGTATCAAGAATTTCTTTCTAATTAATATTAAATATCCTGACGATATATTTATAGCAATACCATTGTAATAGATTATAAATTTAATAGGCAAAGTTTGACTTAAATCCAATTTAACTTTATTTACTGGACACAATTTTTATGATTTTTTAAAAAAAAGTTACTTGTAAGTCGTAAATACACAAATTCAAAATTATTATTTTTCACGATTCAGCGTACATAGCCAAACAACAATAATAATAATATGTTATATTTAGCGGTTATTCTTGATAAATAATTTTTAATTGATCAATGTGAAACATGCTTTAATGAAAAATATTGATTTAAACCCGAATGAACCCTATTTTAAATTTATCGGAAATGGTGGCTGAAGGAAATGCATTTTTTTTCTTTTTTGGTGGGTAATGATTAATAGTAATCTCTCAAGAATTTTTTAATGAAAACTCCTATTGATTAGTGTAATCGAGGTTTTATTTATAATATTAATTACTAGATTATTATAGATATACAATAATAATTATATTTCAAAAGTTATGTAAATGCATAGAATCATTGCAATTTTTTAATTTTATCTATGAAGTAAAATAAAAAAAAATAACTACCTAATATCCACGGAAAACAATATAAATAGGAGCATAAAAAAATTAGTTTGTTAAAAAAATATTATGTGTAACTTTATTATTAGTAATTAATTTTATTCTAATGTTATATACTATTGTGTATAATATTGTAAATCTTGAAAAAAATAATTTTTTTTTAAAACAATTTTAAATAGTTTTTTTTTATGTTTGAATAATGAATTTGTTTCTTAAAATATTAAAAATGACTAACTAACATTAAAATGTTTGTGAGTTTACATTTGATACATTACATTGTAACGTAATTTAGGTAAAATTGGCAAAAACATTAACCATAAAGAGAAAAAGAAAAATATTTTTTTTAAGCTTTAAATACTATGCAAATTATGTAAAAGTTTTTTTGAAGTCGGTTTTTTAATATTTCTTGAATTTTTTTTTTTAATAATGAAAATTATATGGTTTAAGTAGCTTTTAGAAGAATAGTTTAAATTATTTAAAAAATAAACTTCAAATTGTTCATACTTTAATATTTGTAAGAGCTTAAGTATATAGATATTTTATTGAATGGGTAAAAATTGGTACTTAAAATTAATTTATTTTTGATGATTACTTGATATTTCACTAATTAGGTCCTAGGTACCCAAGTATAATTTAAGAATTAAAAATTGCTAACCATTTTAGAGTGTTATAATGATTTGTTACCATCATTGAAATTTTCAATAGGGATTGTAAATTAAAATATCGTATATTTAGTAAGAACGCTAAAAAACTATGAACGTAAGAATGCTTTACAAATTTAGTAAGAATAATTTGCTAGCTTTTTTTCGCGTCTAACATTATACTAATTATTATTATTTATTACTATTTTTTTTTTATTTGCTACTAACATAAAACTATGATAGCTCAATAATCAACATATTTTAATACCACATATAGATATTTATAAAGTAGAATAGGTTTATATTTTTACATAAAATAAAGATAATTAAGATAACAAGATAAAATTATGAATCTTATGTAGTTTGTTTGCATTTTAAAATGAAAAAATAATAATATTATAGAGGAGACATACAACGGTATAGACAATTATAATTGACCTTTATTCAATAAAGTCTTTAGAAGAAACAAGAGAGGTGTTATAGCTGTGAACTTGGAAACAAAAGAAGTATATCATGTTTTAGTATTAAAAGAAAAAAAAGGATAGTTTTGATTAGAGGTTAGAGCTTGAGTAATTAATTGGAATTAAAAATGGATTTAAGAAAGTTATCTTCAATTTTGAGAGCAGAAATGACACTCTTATTGAGTTTGACTATTGGAAAGTTTTAATTTTTTTATAAACCGAGTAGTCGGTTTATAATTGATTGAGTGACTATAATGGCATAGTTCATAAATTATTATTAAGTAAAACAATTTTATTTAAGCCAATAGACACAATAAACTATAGTATATATATTATTGTAGTAAAATTATTACTTATATTTAAATATGAAATGAAATTCAAACAAGTATTTATTCTATTTATTGATTAAACTTTAAATATATGAAGCGAATGTTTAATATAATCAATAATCAATATGATAATATCATATTAAAATATAAAGTGATTTATTTTTTTGATGTAAATACTAAGTAAAGTTAAGTTTTTTAATTTCTGTTTAATTCAATAATTTAAAATTCAATAAATTCAATAAAATATTTTAAAGTTATCTATCATTTTTTTAAGGAAATACTAAACTAACATCAATGGTATTTTTCTCTTTAATTTATGTCATATACTAGCAAAATAATTGTGAAGTATTAAATAATATTAAATACTGTCATTAATTTGTTTTTAATTATGAAAATATTTATTTAACAGTTTATAATGTTTATAAAAATATTAATGAAGTAAATTATGATATATATTTTCAAATATTTTCAAATTTAGTTAATTCAAAATAAAATAAAAATCCATAATATCGTAGAGAATATTTTTTTTTAATTTGTATAATAGTTGGCAGGTAACGCGAGAGAAAAAATTAATTCATTTTGGCAAAGTGGTTTATAAATAGAATTATAATTTTTTTGACCCGCGAATGTATTTGACTTGTTATTGATACACACATTTGGTGGATCAAACTTACTTTAAGTAAGCTGTAAAATTTTGACCAAGTATGGATATAATTAATAAGTATTTGTAAAATGCATATAAAATAACGATTTATATTATACGACAGAATCCATGCTTATGATGATTTAATTTTGTCTACAGTATCTATTTTATCTTCTTTATTGTTTTTGTTTGCTATGCTTATTGTGTTTACTTTATCTTCCTTATACGCAGACTTGTAAAAATCCATGAACAAATAAATAAATGCAATAATATCGATAATAACGGTAAATGCTAAAGCTCGTGGCATGGTGCAGTCATATTTATACAGATATGCTATGTAGCCTACTGCGATGAATAGTTGAGCCTAGACAAAACAATTTAAAATTAAATGACTTTTGAAATTTTTTCAGTATTTGATAAACATAAGATAACTATATTTTTGGGTACTCACAATTTGTAGTCGAGTCACATAAACTTTCCACCACAGATATTTTTGCATATATGGGCCAAGAGCAGCAAGGAAATAATATCCGTACATAGCGATATGAACACTTGAGTTAAGCCACGCGCCATAAGCTGCTTGTTCACCTGCAGACGTATTTATTTATTTTATTATTATACATTTTATGTATCTTGTCCATACGGTAAGCAAATGCAAGGTATGTTAACAATTATTTCTAATATTAAATTAATGATAATAATTAAGTGAAATTCAATTTGATATTTTGTTAGTATTATATTTTACACTGCAAATTTTAATTATAGGTACCTACTATTCCTAACATTTTAATGATGTTTAAATTAGTCCTCTGATTTTCAGTTTTTAATACGATCACGTAATTATAGTTCAAAACTTTAAAATTCTCTATACATATTCTATGTATAAATTTATAAGCATACAGAATTGTTTTTTTAAAAATTCATTTTCGCAAAAAATATAAATGGTTTAAGAAATATTTTTTTTTTTTACATAATTTTAAGTCTTAATAAAATAACACTTTTTAATAAAAATTAAATATTTGACTATTTTATATCATTATTATTTTCGAGTTTTTGAGTCTTTTGAATGTTAAAATTAATAAAAATACAAATATTTTATGTGAAGTATAAAGTGAAAAATAAATTATATAGTATTATTATTTATTTTTAAGCGAATATTACTAAAAAGTATACGTTAAAACGGAATGTACAAAATTTATCTCTATCGGTATAGATATAAAAAGCAATTAGAAATTAAATAATTAATACACATATATATATAATATATAAAGATTTACTTTTAAAAAACCTCATATGCACCCAACACGAGATCACCATTTTTGTATGATGGTAAACATGTAAAAAAGATACATGGGATTGTTTTTTTCTCAAAACAAAAAATACCTGTAATCAAATTGTGTAGTGATAAATAGTAATATAATATTGTAACATTACTTTAATTGTTAATATACTCGGAAAACTTACCGTATCTAATAAATCAACAATCTTGGATATAAAATAAAACCACGAAACAGTATGTAGCTGTGAAAATGGAAAATTGTTATGAATAAATTATTAAATATAATTAGGATCAATGACAGAATTAGAGTAAATAATTTCTACAAACATATTGAGAATAGTAAATATTTAATTTTAAATACACTTAAGAATAAACTATATATTATCTCACACAGTTTATTTGCTCTGATAAAAAATTTGATATATTCAATTATACATTCAAAACGAATTTTTTAAATGTTTTTAAGGTATTTCAACACTTGTTAAAACTACTGTGATAGAATGATTCATTGACATCAAAAGTTCAATATAAATACAGGGAAATAGCTTTCTGATAGTATTATAATATTGTGTATAAAATGAGATTAATAAATTAAAAATATATGCATATGACTAAAAACAACATGATTCCTAGTACAATATTAATTAATGATGCTATTATAAATGTAGCCATTAGTATATTTAAATAATAAACTAAATAGGTAGGTATTTATCTAAGGGCTAGAAAGTAATTTTTTTATCAAGTATATTGTATTGTAACATGCTTTTAAATTAATTAACTGGTTATATTCATGCTGTTATGATTCATAAACAATATAGTTTATTGAATTTTTAATAATTAGGGTTCTAGGTATTAAAATAATGTATAATATAATGCATTTTATTGCATTGGCCTGCAAATTGTACCACTTTCATAGAACTCATAATCATAGACTGACCCTATTAATACAAATTGGATTCATGATAGACGGTGCTGGTGGATGTATAAACTATAACTATACATACAGTGGCGTGTTCAAAATTGTTTTTATGGGGAAGCAAACACTATATAAAATTTTACCAAATAAATTACCAAAAAGAAAAAAAAATCAAGTAGGCCAAATGCATAGAAAGTAAAAAAAAAAAAAAGGCCATCAGATAAAAAAGGCTCATGAGTCGCCAGTTGCCTGGCAAATACTTTCAATAATTAAAAAAAAAAATATGAAACACTATTAATGGGGGGAGGGCACGGGCCCCATGGTTCCCCTTTAAAAATGCCCCCGTATACATTATTATAAAATATACAATAAAAATTTGCTATGAGTTCCATTGTCCAGCGAGTTTTTCTTGTTGTAACCAGGAATTCTTTGTATACGGTTAAAAAAAAATGTCCGTTGTAAATGAAAAGCGGAAAATACCCTTTCCTCCACAAAAAAAAAAAACAACAATTTTTTGTCTAATGTAAATGGACCACGTGACATTATTATAATTCACATTGCTGACGCATAATAATATTGGTAATATACTGTCCACATTCATTAGTTAAATTAAGTTAAATTTTTATAATGTCATCAATTCTTCGTCAAATAAACATGTTTAAACATTAATTTAATTTAAGTATAAGAAAACCAACGTGAATTTTGTAAAATAATAACTTATTATAAATACTGAAACGGACTCTTGATTTAGATATTATAGGAAATATGTTTGTTGTAATAAACAAATTACAATTGAAATATCACTTAGAATGGATAGCCTGAAACGTCCTTGTACGGATTGCTATTTATACGAGTACAGTTTTAAACTAAATGGTTGTCCGAAGAATCGATGATCGAATATTTTATTGAAAAATAAAAGTTCCTTAAAATTTAAAAAGTAATTTTCTAATAAAAAATGTTAACCAACATAATGCATCATGGTAATGAAAATGCATTAATTGCTCTTTTCGGAATCGAACGATCACTACTTTTATTAAAATATTCCTTATAAATAGGTAATATAGTAACTGCTATACTTGCCGAGTTAAGGTCAGGAGTGTGAAAAGTTCATTTATATACCTAAAGAATTTTAATCACATTTATTCTTATAATGAGAAAATAATATAAAAATTATTATTTTTTTTCCAGTAATACCAACATTAGATTCTTCTAAAAATATTTTGTGAAACATCAAATATAATATTTTTTTAAGTTATTTTGCTTACTATATATAATTTAAAAATTTTAACTAATCAAATAATATACTCACACATTTTATTAAATATCTTTCGTGTTGAGTTTCTTTAGTGATATGGCAAAGGTGAGTAAATATATACTTTGGTATACCAGGAGTCAAAAGAATCTAAATAAAAAATAAAAATGTTTAAATATAAATTTCATTTTTTTACGATTTTATCATGACGGTTAATGTTATTTATTTTAACATCCAAGCTTCGGATATTTTCACTTTCATTTTCAATTTTATTTCTCATGGGTGATAGAAGGGATATATTTTGTTAACTTTTTGATAACTTTAACTATATATACATATAATAACTTATGATATAACATATCTCATAAAAAACAGTTAATACATTAACCTGATACAATTTCTTTAAAAATTACTTCCGATATTTAAGGTTTAGTTAAACAATGGATACTAATAAATTTATAAGAAATAAAACTAACTTTTAAAATATCATTTTTGAATTTTAGTGTGAGATGTACATGAGCTGTTATCTAAATACCTACTTATACATAATACAATTTAATAACTAGTATTAATTTAATCTTGAAAAGAGCTTATATTTTAATTGTTATTGTATGTTTAATTATTAAAATAATAATTTAAGTTTATAAATAACATGTTTAAAGTTTTTATCTAATTATGTTCTATTATTGTGATTGCTTAGTGTTTAAATAATTTTTACTTGGTTAATTTTTACAAAACCTTTGATGTGGCATATTTTTGTGACTGCAAATCATGTGGGTTGTATTTTAATACGTTTTTAGTTACAAACGACGCCCTACATTTTTATCTTCTAATCTGCACGAAGTACTAGAATGGTGTACAAAATAGCGTTTAGAATTTTTAATTACTTAAAATATTTAATTATGTTGTGAGCATATTGTAACAATATAATGATCATGTACACATATGAAATATTTATATTTTAAACTTGGTTAATAATAACTACCTATATTTCTATGATTAATTATTATTAAAAATAAAAAATAAAAACTATAAGCTCAAATCGGGTTAGGTAGATTTTTGTAATAAAATTGATTACGACAGGTTTTTGCTAACTAATAATATAATGTAATGCTAATAAATATCTAAATGTCTTCGGCATTTCAACATTAATATTATTTAACAATTATTGTTAAGTAGGTATTTAAAAGAAATAAGATAATTAATTTTGATTTAAAATTTATTAGATGTTGTTATTAAAAATTTGTAGTCACTAAACTTGTATATTTATAATTTGTTGTTTCATCAGTATCAAGGAAATTATTGCAGTAATGATTGTATGACATATTCTTCGAGTAAAATTTTCCAAAACGAAAATTAATGAAGGAAAAGTTTTTATGACTATTGTTATACGATCTGTATATCAATTTATTTCGATATTTATACTAATTGAAAATATCATTTAGTATTAGAATGAAAGTATTTATTTGTAAAATGAAATAGTTTAACATGGAGTATTTAATTAAAGCGTGCATGTTGCGCTAGTAATTTTAAACAAATTTGAAAGATTTTTAAATCTATAATTCTTTTTTTAGTGTTCTTGACACTAAATGCATTTAAATGCAATAATTATCATCGTAAAATATAAAAACATCATCTCACCCATAAACAAAGCAGACTGTTGTAGGTAAGTTGTATAAAGTTGAAAACCAAAATTAGTTTAGTAATATTGTATGGTTGTCGATTCTCCATCATTTTGGGTCCAATTTTTATCACAAACAATAAGTATACAATGATTATTCCAAGTACTGGCCATGGCTTGTTTACGAATAACCATGAATCGATTTCTTCGTCTAGGTAAATAATACACTTTTTAATATTTCATTTACTTTATATTGTATAAATTGTGTAAAAATATAAATTTTATAATTTGTACACTGGATATATAGAACACGATATGTTTAAAATTAAATTGTATTTAATGTGTTTTGATGTTCATTTATTTAAATAAAATAAATAATAATAAGGAAAAGATATCGTGTAGATACTTACAATTAATATGACCTGTATTGTAATTTTTTGTAAGTTTGAAAATAGATTATACAAATAATTGCTTACCGTACTTGACTTCATTTAGTATGGACTCTTTGAGAGAATCTTTTATTTCAATTATATAGTTTAATGTAGATGTAAACATGTCCGTAATTTTTGTTTTATTTTTGCTTTAAATCAAATTATTTTTCATCAATGTAAAGTTTGGATTCTTGGACAAAATAAATATATCAATTAATATTACAAAAGAAGATGATATTTAAATATTATAAATTATTTAAAATTTGTTACTAGTAATTATAACTTTTATAGAAAATATTCCCATAAAAATAAATGTTTAAGTTTTAATAAGCTTTCACATAAATTATTAAAAAAAAATGCAAAAATAAATTTAATTTAAAAAAGTTACCTTGTTTCTAATTAAAAGAAGATGAATATTTTTTTAAATACTCAATAGAGGATAAAATAATTAAAGAATATAATTTGTGTTTATTGAACTATGAATTGATTTTGAACAAATATGTTTTTATTAACAAAAAGCGACCGAGTTGTTTACTTCATGGCTATGTGTGCACATCGTTAAAATTAAGACAAAACACTATTTTCGTTATTAGAACTTCATATTCTTCTCGTGAACTATTGTATATTTATAATTAAATTAATGTATAGTCACGAGTGCGTATTGATTTAATTTGTTCAATGAATTTGACGAACTATACAATACCCGTTTTCAATTGGGTATTCATTTTTGGTTTTAAATGAGTAGATTTTAGAACCATACAAACGCTAAGTTATTCGTAAGTTTTAATGCCAAGAAATATATGAGAACCAAGCAAATTCAACTTAAATTATGACTCTAGATGCTCAATAGGTATTTGATATTTGATCGTAAGTTGGGACTCTTAACGTCGAAAAAAAAAATTGATCACTATTTTTATAAAAGATTTAAACGTTGTAAAATGCTATACACTTTATAAAATAATTTACGAACTGAAATTTAATTTAAAGTAAAATAGTAGAATCTTACCAATAATCAAAAATATAATAATATAAATTTATAAGCTATGTATAGTGATACATTAATATGGTAAACTTATCATTAGCATGAAAATGTATTTTTGCTCTTGTATTGGTATTTAAAAAACATTAGCAATTTCCACTTAATAATTCGATTCGGCTTCTATGAATATAAAATTATAAACCATTTGTAAAAAAAATGCATTTTAAGAATTTAATATTAAAAAATATTATTTCATTCAAATTTAGAATTATTATTTTTTAATTTATAATATTTTGAAGCACTGTTGACAAACCGAACTCGAATTAGACAAATTATTGAAAAATTCAAAGTATCCTCATTCCATCCAATATATAAAATATTCAAATACACTATTGTCATATTATTTTTAGTTAAAATTATGACTTATTACTATTTATTTTTTAAAATTAACAGTACAATAAACATTTAAAATAGTTGAAAATTTCATATATGGGAATACGCATATTATGTCAATTAGTTACTAACTAGTGTACCAGTACATAATATCGCATCAGTTGTAGTAAATAATCGTAACAAATTATATTATTGGTATGGCTGATGTCAGTGTTCATCACACGATTAGTTTAATTGATTTATGTTTAGTAAAAAAATAAAATCTGTGTTAAAATTTAAAAACGTTTAGTTTAATTTTAATATTAATTTTAAATTAATTACAATAGCCAGTAAAATAAAAGATAACTTCTTATGGAATACGTGTAACGCATCGTTGATATTTTATTTAAGCATACAAAAGTAATTTTGATATTTTTTGATAATACTAATTATTTTAACAATGATTTATGTGATTAGCCGTAAGGTCCGAGTTGTATTTTAGAAAGTCGATGTTGTTTTTTTTTTTTTATTAATAATTCAGTATTATTACTGATTCATATTATACTTAAATTATTTGATTTCATAATATTGTTAATCAATAGTAACAATTTAAACAATGTGTAAATAATATGTAAATTAAATTATACTATTGTATCATTCAATTTTATAACTTTAAACCAATGCCCAAAGGCATATAGATGATTTATTACTAGGGAAATTTATTCACAGGTGTTTTATATATTATTTATTAAAATATGGTTAATTTCATAATAAGAGATAACTGTAAGTTAAATAGATCATTATTTTCTTGTATACTCTACTTTTTAAATTTGATAAATATTTCTATTTATGGTTTATATTTTATTTATGCAATTGTAAATAACCACCTAAAAAAATATAGGATTGAACAAAATATTTTATTTTTTAAAGACTAGGTATACACTAAAAACAATGACTTATTTTTGATTTTCAGGTATTATTTAAGGCTTTCTACTAATATATGTACCATTAACTAAGATTAGCAGAAGTAATTAAATACTTCGAAATATGTTTATTACTAAAAATAATTATATTATTTATGAATAAAAAAATTCATTATGTAAATTATTTTGTTTTTATATAAGTAATAAGTTTTGAAACACCAAACTTTAATATATATTTATTTGAAATAGTACTTCATCAATTATCAACAAAGACTTATAATTAAGTTTTTAAAATAATAAAATGCTGTATTTTTACTTATTCACGAAAATAAACCATATTGGATTGTTATAAAAAATATGTACATCATCAAGCAACTAGATTTTATTAAAGAAGAACTTGAACAAAATACTGTCTTAACAAGACAAATTATGAATACTCGTTACAGAACATCCAAAATAAACTCTCACGTCTACTATTTAGAAGTGCTAAATACCAAAGATATATCCAAGCTTAAATATTAAAATTTTATGCTATTTCAATATGGAATCAACAAACAGGTATTCAAATGTCTAAACTGTCAAGACTATGATTACACTATAACGTATTGAAATAACCATCATACTCGCGTTTGCGAAAACCACTGAATTGACATCTGTACCAACCAAAAGTATTAACCTTCTTAAAAAATATGAAGTATGTAATGATAATCATTCCGTTAACTGTTGCGGATTTAAAATGTTTAAAAATCCATAGGAATTTTTAAAACATCATTTACATTGTAAAAAATAAAATAGAAATGAAGTTAAAGGAAATTTAAATTATAATATTAATACTGTGTTAAACTTACCATACAACAGAATTTCATATTAAAATAATATAAATAACATACAAACGTATTCTGGGGCAACAAAATTAAGCATAATCTAGACTCACATGCATAATGATGTGTTCTAGAATAAGCAAAATGAAAAATAGATTGCCTTCTTCCTAATCAGATTTATATAAAATAAAGATAACTAAAATACCTACTAAATAACAAAAAAAAATAGTATTGTAAATCATATCATTAGATGAATATGTATATAATTACAAATAGGTAATTTTTTTTTATTCATAAAATTATATAAACACACTAAATAGATCTTCTTGGTGGATCCACCCATTAAAAAAACACACATATGATATCATATTTAAAGATATATGAAGTGCTATTGATAAACGGTTTCACCACTCACATTTATGAAGCTATCTATTTGTAACACGATTAAAATGATCTCCTGTTATCACATTTTTTCATTTTGCTATCTACTTGTATAGATTGTAAATGAAGGTAGAAAAAAATTTTGATTTATTAAAAAAATCACGAACGTGAATGCCATACAATTTATTTAATATACGTTCACAGTAAACATATTATTTGTATCTAATTAAACAAATAAATAAATAATGCTGGATTAGTATTAAATCATAAATAATTATTATTGATATTTTAATTTTACAATCATGGATTATTATAAATGTATAGTCTCACAATAATAAAGTATTCTAAAATTAATACTGATGATTAAATAAAATATGTAAACTATATAATAATTATTAATTATACCATTAACACTGGAATTAGGCATAGACTATTTAATTATGTACTTAATTAAGCATAACGGTTATATAATTGTATAAGGCTTATAATATAAAATAATATTTGAGTTGTACTTTTAAAGATATGCACCTTCTTAAGTAATTAAAATATTTATTTTTCAACAATTTACGTATAATGAATTATACAATATATCTTATAATAATATTGTAATCAATTATTTTTAAAAACTAATTTAATATGTTTTGGCGAGAAATAGCAGTCTTATTATCAAATAGCTATGATAAATATCAGTTTTTTTAAAGTATACCTATTGGTAATTTATTCAATGATAAAAATAATATAAAACATCAGTAAAATATTTTATAATTTTAATCATGACTTACAGAATGCCCTGTGTAGCTTGAACTTTTAAGTAATAAGTATTATGAAAACTATATTAGATTAATGCTAAAATATTTAGCACATCAAAGAATACCTTATGTTCTTATGAGGCTATGTTGTAATTTATGATGTTTTTACATAGTGAATTCAAATAATTTTGGTTTATAATATGTTCATCATTGATTATTATAATTTTATATGGATAGAATTTTTATTTATATAGTTTTTAACATATACCTACTTATTATAAATTATAATATTATAATATAACATAATATTTTATAATTACCTACTTATTATAAATTAACTATCAAATAGTTATGTAATATTAATAATAAGTCACATACATAAAATTGTTTGGATAGTTAACAAATAAAGCTTATTAAATATATTGTGCATATAAAAACTATGTACATTTTTTCAAATATAAAATAAGTCATACCATTGGGAGTTATAATTTAAGTTAATAGAAAAATAAATATTGTAAGACACAAATGATTATAGTTAAAAAAAAAAAAAAAAATTATACATAAACATTACAAATGATATTGGCAAAATTCTATTCTCATTTGTTATTAAAAGCCAATATTGTATAGTCGTAAGCACATAAAGTCCTTAAAATATTAATCACATAATTAGCTATATGTGTAGATGTTACACAAATATTGAAATATTAATATAATATTATAAATTATTAATTAAAAAAACATGCTTTTAAGAATAAGAAAATAAGTTTCATTTAAAACTGAAATCATAGGTCATCAATATTATTTCGTTATTGTTATTAATATAACAACTACGTGTCGCGCGTCGCGATGTAATTCTTTGGATTCTGAGTGAATTTAAAAAAAACATAATTTAATGTATAGAAACCTTATTAATTATACTTATTATAAGAAAAAAAAAACAATTGTATGATATTGATAAAAAAAAAAAAAAAAAATACAGATAATCACATTTCTACGAACAATATAAACTATGAACAAATAGGCATTTTTTCTTGTTTTTTTTAATTTGCATGTAATTTTGCTCGTTGGTTTTGTTCATACGTTTTTTTATAGAACATTAAAAATAAGTACAAAAATAATGAGACGTCAGCAATCACATACAAAATAAATAATCTTGGAAAGTTGCAGTTAAATGTGTACAAGCAAGCATTATATGCCATTATCATTAGAAATTGAATCTGAAATAACATCATAATTATTGGTTAAAATCATTGAATTTTCGAGAACACAGTAATATTTTAAAATAAAATAATTGAACTTACGATTTGCATACGAGTCAAGTATTTTTTCCACCATAAGTATTTTTGCATATGTGGACCCAAAGCTGACAAAAAGTAGTAACTATACATTACTGTATGAATAAATGAGTTTACGAGTCCACCAAATATCAGTTGTTCTCCTAAAAAATATGATTTACATATAGTTTTGTAATCATTAAATACGTGTTTTGACCTTATGACAAATTTATTGTTTTATTTTGTTTTGTATTATAAACTGAAACTTAATTAAATTTAAAATTAAATATATATTAAAAAATGTATTAATGTAATACATAACTTAATCATTATACATATTACATATATATAACCTAAAATATAAGTTTTGTATAAAGAGAAATTATTTTAAAATTCAATACATATTATATTAGAAAATATGTTTTTTATAGATATTTTTAATTGAAATCATGAAAAAAATAATACCTTTTTTATTTTTCTTAAATTTTTATTTACTTCTTTATTAAAATAAAATAATTTTAATAATTTTAAGCAGAATATTTCAGAGTATTTTAATACATAAAAATTGAATTTTAGACAATTGTTAATAATTATAAATATTTATCGTTTTTAAATCGACTAGGAATAACTTATAAAATATTAGTTCACTACTACACTCATTTATAATAATTAATTAATTAATTTTTGATATTTAGTTTTTATAAACTGAAATTTTAAGAAAATATTTCATGATGGAATATGAAATCATTTAATACTGAAACCTAAAAATAGAAAGGAATTTAAAAAAGAATTATAATAAAATAGTAAGAAATATAAATTTTTCAAAATATATAAAAATTTTTTTATAACGCTTATTTTTTTAACCTCTATTTTATATTATGATAACTTACGTATTAAAATTTTGATTTTAAAACTTTTATACACAATTTAAAATACAGGTACTAAAAGATAATTTGAGAAAATATTCATGAGATTTGAACAAAACATTCTATTTATGCAGTGATTAGTTAGGTAGTTAAGTAAGAATTATCTTTTAAACTTATATTTTATCTCTCCTTAAATCCCATTGATCTCGAACGAAATTAAAAAACTAAGCTACAAATAAACAAAATTTTATTACCTATATCATATTAATTTAGAAAATACTAAAATACATTTATTAAAAGAGGAATTATATTTACTAAAATTTAAACTTAATTTATTATTTATTATTAAAACGCATGTTTTTATTACTGAAAATTAAAAATATTTTATAAAATAAGATATCGTGCAATAGATATTTAACAGATTGTTGAGAAAAATGTTACAGATTTTTCGATTTTTAGTTCTATTTTAAATTAGAATTAAAAAAATTCTATGTATTTTTTATTGATTTATCTATGCTCCATGATAATTATACACTGATAATGTAAATATGATTGTTGGTGTTAATAATTTAAGTTTTTTTTTTAGTAATAAAAATAGGCAATAATTGACGATTGTTGGTAGATAATAATATTGATCGATTACTAGTAAAAAAACAAATTAGATAATTAAAAAACATTTTTACCTTTTATGAATCGTAGAAAAGCCCAGCATGTGATTACCATATTTACATGATGATAAACATGTAAGAAAGATACTTGGGATTGTTTTTTCCTCAAGACAAAAAATACCTGTGATGAAATAAACAAGTAAATAAATTATTCCATAGTAAGTAATAATAATAATAATCATGGAAAATGTTAGAAATTATTGTAAAAAAATTAGAATTGTTTCAAAATAAATTGTATTGTATTGATACATTTATAAGGTTAAGCATTTTATAGTTTATACTTGCATTTTTAATAAATTTTTGAATTTAATATTATAATTATGTATTAAGATTTATGACACATTTTTCTATAACTAATAGTTGTTGCACATTTAGTTGTCTTATTTATTTCACAATCTATTTCAAAAATGTAAACAAGTGTGAAGTAAATATGATGAATTAATTATTTATAACAATCTGCACTTGGTTATACTGCAGGTATTGATTGAACATCTAAATGATAATTGAAATCTAATTTTATGTATTTTATACGATATCAATAATTGCTATAAATGTTTGCTTGATTGTTAGTTCTCACTTAAAAATGTAAATTGTTTGGTATTATTATTAAATCAATAAAATATAACGCTGTATCAGGCGGAAATTAGTTTTAATAATGGTGTGTTAATAAAAAAAATTAGTTAAATTGTATCAATAACGTAGGAGTTAATTGCCGTTTTATTTTAGTTTCTGTAACAGAATGATAAAAATATGTATGAAATGTAATATGAATGATTTGATACATAATTGAATTGATATTTGGTTGAGGAATCATAAATCTTGGTATTGAATCGTTCAATAATGTAGTGTATTCAAAAACATGGTAATAAATATGTTGTTTAACCGTATTTTAAATTAATCAATGTTTAATTTTTTTAAGTAAAAAATTTAAATACTTACTGTATCTAATAAATCAATTACTTTGGATAAGAAAAAATACCATGAGCCTTTGTTGAACTGTAACAAATTTAAATTTTAACATAAGTATTAAACAATAAAATCATATATAGGAGTCTAATAAAATACTTAAATATAATATTACATTATGTATATTATATATATTTTATGAAATTCTTACGAATAATGAATTCGTATATTTAAATTAATTATTATTATGCCTATTTTAATTAGTGTGAATTAATTTAAAAAAATAGCGAGTTGAAGTACCTAAATAGCTATAAATTGTATTAATTAATTATAAAAAAATAATGAATAATAGCATTTTATTGTTGAATTAACTTCTGAAATTATGCATATTAAATGTGTATTTCTATTTAATATGTGAAATATAAATATGTTATAAATTATAATAATGTTAAATATTTTAAAATTGTGTCTACAAAAAATAAAATTTTACATTGTAAATCATTTTCCTGAAAAATAATGTTTTTTAGTTGTGTCATTTTTGTATATAAGCGACACGTAGTAATATAAGATATTTAAATTTTAAACATTATTCTTTAATTATTTGATTAAAAAATAAATAAAAATTTTCATTTGGGTATAAATAAATGTATTAAGTTGATAAATATTCAACTTAGTTATTTAATTTTACTTACCTCATGTATAAGCAAATGATTGAGATCTCGAGGAAGTGGATGGCATACATGACTTATATAGTAGCTCCATGCTCCAGACGTGGTAAAGAACTAAAATTGAAAAAAAGTAATATACTTATAAAACTTTATACCTATTGAAGATTAGTTTGTAATACATTTTAAATCTTAATACACTTGTCACCATAAAAATCACAGTAAAAGATTTTTAAAATTTTTAACAAATAAATAGGTACATTTGTATACATTTACCCTAGAATAAAATATACTTTCAAGATTTTAATAATCTTTACTGTCGTTTTTCATTCTACATATTACATAATACGTGAACTTTTAACGAATATTTTTGAAATTAATTTATAATCATAATAATTTATCATATTGTGTATAATATTATGAACACCAATATAGTATAATATAGTTAATTAACTAAAAATTAACTCACCAAAGCTACAATCCAACTATTATAAAGTGTTTGAATAGCATTATACAAAAGCATCACATATTTTATGTTAAATGGTTTCCGGTTTTCCATCATACTTGGGCCGAGTTTCAATACAAACAATAAGTATATAGATAATATTGAGAGTATTGGCCATGGTGTACTCATAAGTGGCCACGAGTCAACCACTTCATCTATAATAATATTTTACCAATATAAATTAAACATTTTAGTTGTATGTAGTTATTAGTGTTGCACAACGATGTTTATAATCATCGATATCGATTCATTTATATCGAAATTGTATCGCGATATTGAATAACAAATTATATTGATATCATTTATAAAACTAAAAACAATACAATACTACTTAAATAGTTACGAAATTGTTGACGGAAAAATAGAAAATATTGCTTATTGTTATTGTTTATTATTCTTTGCCATTGATTAACTACTAAAACTTAAATAAATAGAAAATAGATACGGTAATGAAATTATATCAAATATCGATGTATATTCAATAAATTAGGTACATCGATGTCGGTAAAATTAGTTCGATATCGAAATACAATTTCGTTGTACATCACTAATATAGTTATATTTATTAATGATTGTTCAGCCCATAAAGGAATAACTTACTGGAGACGTAGGCAACTAAGTATATGCGTAAAATAGTGTATAAGCGAAAGTATGACAAAATATAACAATTGATAGTTGGGAACGATACTTATAGCTTAAATGTTTATTAAAGAATACTTACCAAAAACCAGTTCTTTTTCAAATAATTTTATTAATTGATCTTGTGTTTGAGACATGAAATGATTCAAATTTGTTTGCGTCAAGTTCGCCATGACGCTTGTTTACTCTCCTAGAACCACAGAGAAAAAAATATCCATTTAAATAGTTTAAATAATAATTATAATAATTCTGTGTTACATGATATGGGAATAATTATTATATATGTTAGGTAAAAGTACAATAAATATTAAATCTATGCTGTAAAGATTCCATTTAAAAACTTTATAAATTTGAATGATTTTGTGTACAAATAAATGATTTTGTGTACAAATAATAAAATGTGTTAAAGTTTTTAAATAATAAATGCCTTAACATTTTTGTTCATTTAAAGCTATACTATGTTTATCTTAAAGCAAAATTTATTAATATAGAATATCGGTAATCTGAATATAGTATACATTTTCTGCTGTCTAAAAAACGTAACGAAATAATTTTTTTATTTAAATCTCAATATATATTTTTTGTTAGTTAACACGATTTTACATTTTTAAATTTGAGTTAAATATAAAATATAAATTTTAAATCTTTTAATAGTTAAAAACTATTGATCATGTTTTCTTTGAAAAATATTCTGTTCTTTATCATTTTCAAAGATGAGAGAATAATTTTGTTATTGTATGTGAACACTTTTATTTTTAAATATTGTTTAATTTCATAGAGATGTTTTCAGGTTGATAACGTATTTGGTGCTTTAATTGGTGTTATATATATTTTGTAAAAATTTAAATTTCAAACACCTATAACAAAAATTACACTTACAAATTTTTAATAATTTCCATGTTATACAAAATTTCATTTTTCAATTTTAAAAACCTTTTTGTTCAATTTGTAAACTATTTGACCGAAAAAACTATTTTTGATCAACTTTTATTGAATATCATTTAAAAAAGTTCGAAATTTGCACATGTTTATAATTACTCAAAAGTACTTTAAATAATATTAATACCTCATTATTTATAGAAACTGATAGTTTAAATAATAATGGAATGTTTTAACTCTGTATGGTTAATATTTTTTAAAGTAGAATCAAAAAACAAATATCGTTTGTGATAAAATTGTTTTTTTTTTTATATTTGAATTTTCAACAACAATTTGCTAACATTTTTAATTTAAAAGCTTATACAAACTTTATATTCTAAACTTTTTTTTCTTAATTCAAGCATGAAAATATTATGAGGAATCTTTTATTAAATTTTTAATTCTTGAAGGTATTAAATAGGTTTGTATTTAACTGTGAAATAATTTAAAAATTTTGTAATTTTAACTAATATCATAAAAATTCTAACTAAAACGTTTATAAACAAACCGTGTTAATAGATTTTCATAATTTTTTAACTGTTAGTTAAAATTTGAGTAATAAAAACAAAATATATTTTATGTAACACGAGTTTTTGACAAAATTGATGATATATTTTGTTGCAAGTAATTAATATTATAAATCTTACTCATATCATACTTTTTAATATATCTTATGCAATAAAATAAAATATTAATTGGTATTTAAATAAATTGATCTCTACTAAGAATAGTTTTTTAGTCTTTTCAATATTAACAGTCGTCGCTTTTAAAATAATATAACATTTCATGATTACGCACTAACATTACTTTACATCAAGGTTCTTATTTTGTAATATTGTAATATTTAAGTTTATAAATTTAGCAATTCATTTAAATACATTTATTTTGTTATTCTTTATTTCCAAGTGAGAGTTTATTATTTATTGAATAATAGAATTACTTAATTGGTTTATTTTATAGATGAGTATAAAATGTAAATAAGTAAATATAAACAATAATTTTCAATGAAATTTATTATATACGTATAACTTTTCTGTACATAATAATCCTAGTTGATAATACAAGTATATTACACTAGTATTTTCTCTAATAATTATGTCTTTTAGCACACGTATCGAATAGTAATCGAATTACTAATTATTCAAATTCGTATTATAAAAGTTTAAATCGTCTAACATTTAAATTGTGTCACATGACTAATATTATTATGTTACCTACTAAAGACTAGACGATTTGTAGTAATTATGTAATACGTGACTCAACGACCAGATAAAAAGCAACAGAATCACAGAGAGTTGTGCGACTCTTACGCATAAAGTAATGTAACACAAATTAATCAGGTTCAGTACACGGCGTTGTAATTTCTCACAATTGAATATCGTACATTACTGTGTGGTCGCGGATATATATATATATATATATTTTTTTTTTTGTTGACTACCAGAACTAACTTTTTAAATTCATGTCAAGGTGATTATGTGCATAATATTTATTATGTGTTTTATTACATAGATATTGAAAATATTCTTACTAAACAATTTCCGTCTGTCCTCGGTTGTTGATCGTCATAAATTACGGCAATTTATGGAATACTATCGTACGAGTTTTGAGGGCGGACGCGTGTACAACATAAACCGAGTGTGCTACACTTGCAACGACGATCGTACTATGGAATTTTCCAGCGGACAACCGTTCACGTTATAACTATTAAAGACGATGTCATCAGTAATTATTAGCTGACGAATAGTGTTTACGAAACAGGTCGGTAATTATGCTAATTACAATGAAATATGACGTTTGACCGATAAACAAATAATGAATTTTGTGTGATTTTCGATCGAGAAAGTTTTACGTCAATTGGGCGGTAAAAGGTATGCGCGTATATCTATATTATAATGGTATTACCTCTGTTGATGACCTCTCAAATAGAACAGGTGACGACCGCAACGTTGCAGTGTCACACAAATGTTTTTTCCTCAACTAGAGCTAAATATATCATGACTCAAGCTGTTAAAATAATTTATAGCAATAATTCTGATCAGGTAAAACATGATGTATCGAATGGACATTTTAGGTAAACAAACATATGTAGACGTGTGAAAAGTAAAAATAATTGCACGATATTCAACTGTTTTCTTAATTTTTTTAAATGAAATCGTGGCTCATGAGTTTTTGACATGTTTATTTTAACCTTTTATTTTATTTTATTTACTTAATTTGTATTTCCATCATCTGTTACATAGATTTTGAATAATAAGTGAAATTGATGAATTTAATAATTATGGCGTGAAGGACGGATTAAAGATACCTTTCAGTGAAGGCACTTTTACAGTTAAAGTGTACAACAAAGTATACAGTTAGTTTAAAAAAAAAATGTTAAACAACAATGTTAGGAGGTATTATATGTGGAAAGAAAAGTAGAAATAACAAAGGTAGTATAGAAAAAAGAACAAAAGTTATTAGATTGGTTTAGACTAATAGGTCCTTACACCACCGCCTTTTCAACCTTATTATAACCTAAAAAATTATTTTGAATAAGTTACTATAGTTGAGATCGTGTCACATATTTAATTTAAAAATTACCATATGGATTAAAAAAAAACTTCTGAGCAAAGTTGCAACAGTATTTTTAAAATTCTTACGATAAAATCAAATCTCATACTCAATTTTTTATTGAAAATAAATTGTAAAAAATAAAACAAATGATTTAAAATATTTAAATATTTACATTTTTATTTTTATTTTTTTATTCTTGAAATATAGTATACTACTTTAGAAATGACTTGCGGTGATAAGAAATTTTGATTTTCAAATAAAAAAAACTGCTTCTACCTCTGTACATTATCTTATGGATAATTTTTTTAAAAGTTTATTTACCTAATTTAAAATTTTAACAAGTGACATTTCAATTATTATTATGTTTATATAAAACAAACATATTTTATATGTAAATATAAAATTGATGTAATATTAATTAGTATTTATTTTGTACTTGGATTAATTTTATAGTTAATAGATAATTTTAATTTTAAAATACAATGATAGTCTCCATATCTTCTAAATCTAATATCATGGATCTATTATTCTTAGTACACAAAATTAAATAACTTAAAAACTACTATTTTGATATATTTTTAAAAAAATTATCTGTCAAGTAATTTACTGTTTAAAACGGGTTTATAATTTAAAAAACAGAAATTTGTATCTTAGTAGATTACTTTTTAAATAATATAAAAAAAACTCAAGCATTAAAAAATATGATTTTTGGGTATATTTAAAAACCCAGTCATACATTTTTGGATAACTGCGTCATTGAAAGAGAAAAATTGATTGAGCAATAAGCATACTTGGTAAATGACTCTATATAGTTGGAGAAGGAAAATTGCCATTAATGTAATAACCTAATGCATATTTATTAGACTTTTAAATATCGTTAATATAACTATAATTATATATTCTTATCAATAATTATTGTCCGTAGATAACACCAAACAAATATTATAATTCGCTGTATTACTCGAAAATTAATAGGTATCTCTACCTGTTATATTGGTTATGGTCTATAGACTTTTTCATAACTCCTATAATGGAAACAAGTTAAAATATGTCTCAGAACAATATTTACCTCAACTCCTAATAATTAATTTTTCAAACTCTATTTCAAAACTTTAAATCAAACTGTAGAGTTATAAGGAAACTGCGTGTTATAATGAACAACGTGTATATAATTATCAAATTATTTTAACACATTCAAAAGTTGCTAAAAACATCGTAATATATAATACAATGTATACTTGTACGTATATAAAATTGGTAGAGTACAATTATTTTTATATTCATTATATTGTGGTGTAATAGAGAGTTCTTAATTTAATTACATTAAACTTATTTCTCGTAATTCACACATACTCAATAAATTAGCTATAATCGTACAATTTTTAGATTTATATGATGAACAAATTCTATTCCGATAAATTAATAAAATCCATTTAACAATAAATGATAGACTTGCAATTTTAATGGTTTTATATTTTGTTTTTATGATTTAATCTTTATGAAAAAATCTGAAAACACAAAATTTAAATTGTTTTTTTTATGGTTCTGTACTGAGTAAACAATATATTATTTCAATTTAAACTGACATTAAACATAGACAAAAAATTAAAAATTAAAATCTAAAAATGGTTTTTTCTCTTTAGTTTTTACATTTTGTGCTGTATAACTATTATACTCAAAACATATAATATACCCTGTAACATTTATTATGTATCT